TTATGGAAGTGTTTGTAATAAGTGGATGTAACTTTGGCTAGAATAATAAAACAAACATTTTACTAACAAGCAAAAAAAAAAAATAATGTTATCATCGTGGGTGTTTAAAGTTTTTGGGGGGTCATCCATAAATGACGTCCCACTCGTAGGGGGGAGGAGGGTGTTGGTAATTTTGTGACGATGTGTGATGAGGCAGAGGGGGGGGGGGGGGTTAGATGGTGCGACGTCACATTTTTGCTTAATAGAAAAGAAATGTTAGAAAACGAATTTTAGACGTTATTTTGCGTTTCAGAAAACATTTTTAATAAATTGTAATAGGAATTGATTAAAATACTCTTTTTTGACATATTTCAGACAAGATTTTGGAGAAATATCGATGTTTAAAAAAAATTCAACTGCAATTTTGAGGGAGTTGTAGACTGAGGTGTGACGTCATTTTAGGGGGAGGGGTCTAGCTTTTTGTGACGACGTGTGACGGAGGGGAGGGGGGAGGTAAAAATCGTCAAAAAAAGCGTGACGTCATTTATAGATGACCCCTTGTCCAATCATGATTAAATTAAGAATATTTTAACAAAAACTTTTAGCATTAGCAACTATTTAGTTAAATAGTATTGTACTATTGGACACTCACGGGGAAACTAGAAGATCTGGAGTTTGCAGATGATCTTGCCTTACTCTCGCACAGACTACAGGACATGCAAGAAAAAGTTGATGCATTAGGAGCCATCTCGCAGCGCGTATGTCTGAAGATCAACAAAGAAAAGACGGAAATGATGAGAATTAACAATAAACAGGAGGCTCCAGTGTCAATAGACGGAAGCCAGGTAAATGATGTGCAAGAGTTTGTCTACCTTGGCAGCAAGATCAGCAAAACGGGAGGCACAGAGGAGGACATACGCGCTAGAGTTAATAAAGCCCGCTGTGCTTTCACAGTCCTGCGACCCATATGGAAAAGTTCGGCCATCTCCATTACCACAAAAATTAGGATATTTAACTCTAATGTCAAGGCAGTTCTGCTGTATGGAGCAGAGACATGGAGAGTCTCCAAGGCAAGCACAGCAAAGATACAGACCTTCATGAATAGATGCCTTAGACAGATACTGAAACTGAGATGGCAGGACAAAGTGCCGAACTTGGAACTATGGAGGAAAGCTAGGCAGGAGCCTATAGGTGTGCAAATAAGAAGGAGGAAGTGGCGCTGGGTGGGTCACACACTGCGAAAGGCTCACACAAATGTTACACGCCAAGCGCTTGAGTGGAACCCCCAGGGAAAGCGGAAGAGAGGGCGCCCAAGACAGACCTGGAGGCGGAGTCTTCTTGAAGAACTGAAGCCAATAGGGATGTCTTGGGAGATGTCAAAATTAATAGCCGAGGATAGGAAGAAATGGAAGGAAATGGTGGAGGCCCTATGCTCCATAAGGAGCAAAGAGGACTAAGTCAAGTAAGTCAAGTATTGTACTAAATATTTCACTTTTTTACTGTGTTTTTGAACACATAAAATTTAGGCCTGTATAATTTACTAAAGGGGCGTAACTCCAAAATAAATTGTAAACATTTCAGTCTGACAAGATTTCAGCTGCTGAAATGTAAATCAAGGGGAAATAACTTAAAACGCCGCTGGTTAATTAAACTCTCTTCCTATCCGTCATCACTCTCACAATGCTACCTAATACACTGGCTTCAAAAAGTCTTCTAATGCAAGGTGAAAAGAAGGGCATATATATATATATATATATATATATATATATATATATATATATATATATATATATATATATATATATATATATATATATATATATATTGTGAGCTACTTAGGTCATCTTTTTTTAATTGTTTAATTAAATGTAATGTGTATTTATATGGCATTGAGTGGTCTGTGGTTTAAACAAGAAATTTTCCATCACACTCAAGTGATAGTATTCACAAATGAGTTCGTGTGACTCGTGCTGTGGCTATTTCCCCCCAATGGACCCTGAAATTGAGGTCAACATCCCATAATTTCAGAGTATTATATAAAGGAGGAATTTTCCTCGCACGAGGAGCCCACTAGACACCTACAGATAGAGAGAGAGAGAGAGAGAGAGAGAGAGAGAGAGAGAGAGAGACGTACGACGCCATCTTGTATTTTCTAATTTAAGCAGCAATTATCTCCAAGTTCCAGTGTATTCAGTATTTTTCTGTATCTTATTTTAATAACGTGTAGGTTGTGGTGATAACTTTAGTAGCTTATCCAATGTTAGTAGCTTCGGTGTGTTATTCCTGGAAATTGTAATTTAGGTCTTTCATTATTGTATATTTCAATTTTTTTTGCATAGTTTATTATTCAGACTTGTTTACTTATTAGAAGGTTTTAGATTGGTTAAAAGTTTATTAGTTGTGGAAAGTCTTCGTATTTGTTTTTACCCTAGATATTAGCTTCGATTCCACGAAGAGTTTTAGTTTTCTGGGAATCTTTTTAGTTTCGTAAGAATTCATCAGTCTAGGACCATCCAAAAAGAATCCGGGTATTGCGTGATCTTTATCAGTGGTAATATATATATATATATATATATATATATATAATGACAGATACAGTGAGACAGAGAGATATATAGTGAGAAATGCAATAGGGCATATATTAAGATATGTAGTGACATATATTGTGAGATGAGCTACACAGTGAGATGAGATACATAGTGAGATATGCAGTGTTTCTTCCAGACTTTCTTCTCGGGGGGGGATGGGGGGGAATGCACTTGAAATTTTTGAGGGGGCAATAAACTTTCTTCGTGGGGGCGGACACTCTTAATATATTTTCTAAATAAATTTTATTTCTTTCGTGGGGGCGGTAGACTTTTTTCGAGGAGGTTCTGCCCCTCCTGAAGAGATGCCCGGAAGAAACTCTGGAGATATCTAGTGTGTATATACTTTTGTTATCTAATACTTTAAAACTCTGGTTCATGTCCTTTTTGAAGGATGTCAAGACATTAACTACCTGATTTGGTGCTGCTGTCTGTAACTGCCTGGTTTTTGGAGTTAGTTGTAACAATCTCTAAAACAAGCTTCAAAGATTCAGCAAATTTTTTTTAGCATAGACTTTTGAAAGTTTAATTTTAGCACCCCGTTGTAGAGTTCTGTGAAATTCAAAACAGTCATAAAAATTACATCAGTCATAAAATCATGTCTTGTGTATCGAATTAATAAGATAGAATCAGCTTTATTTATTTAAAACTCCCAGCGAACGCTGAAAAAAATTAATCTGAAGGAAGAAAAAAAAATTCTCGGGGGAAATAAACTTAGACAAATTTCAAACCTGTAAATTCTAACAATAACCAGAACCTTGAATTAAAGTTCTAATGTAAAATAAACCTAGATACACTCCCCTTAAACACAAAACAGGTTTAATATTGTTGTTACCGTTATTGAATAAATTGAAAAATAAATGGAAATTGAAATTGTAACTGGTTAAGGTCTTATAAGCAACGGCTTAACATTAATCAAATACTTGATCCTCTCCTTGCCTCTGTCATTCCAAATATATGTAACCTAATCCACATTTCTAATCAGAAATATTAAAATCGTGAAAATGACTTGATTTTCTTTTTCTAAATGAAACGTATATTTAATAATTTGCAAGCGTTATAAAGTTGTCGAGTGAGAATTACTACACTGAATAATTTGTTCGACAGGGATCTTTTTTACCTCAAAATTGGTTGTATGAATGTCTGGAGAGTCGGTTTTTTTCACGTTTATTTTTTATAATAATATACATTATGATTTGCAAGTAGCATACAGTTTATAGTATTATGCTAACTACATTTAAACTTCAGTCTACCAGTGGTGACGTGTAAAGTGAATGAATCATTGTATTTGGGTTCAGTGTGAATAGACCAAGCACATTGTATTGTATTGTCCGACTCTTCTGTTGAACTGGTGTACTAATCTCACCACCACCTATGTCATTTATAGAAAATAAATATTATGCGATAAACTTTGACTTCAAGTAGGTGTCGTAATAAAAGATAATGAAACTTTCATTATTTACACTCAGTAAATATTATATTATATATATATATATATATATATATATATATATATATATATATATATATATATATTTATTTATTTATTTATTTATTTATTTATAACAACACATTGCTTAAAGTTTTCTGATGTACAATCGAGTTGTTATATTGATCCGTATATTGTTGTATGTTAGTTTTGAAAAAATGAAATACTGTTTTAATATCAGAGAAAATCATATGCTGGTAATTAGAAGAAAAGATAATCCGGTTGTTATATAGTAATATATAGAATACTGCTGCTGACTCGAGGTTTGAATTGGGGCAAGTCCAGAGCATTTACCTAGCGTGTCGCCTAAGATTTTAAACTTCATTATTGTTCAAGATGATTTAAATAATTAAAAACTACATTTATTTACCTTTAATTTGACACGAATTTTATTTATCAAATATAAACGGTAGCTTAGAAAATGTTTTTAAAAAAAAAAGGTGTTTGATTTTAAATGGCTACGATGGCAATAGAGCAGCCACTGTTAGAATGTTTGTTGTTGACGGAGGTAGATTCTTAACATAGGTGTTATGAAGGTGTAAGCGAAGGTGAAGATGAGATTTGTGGTAAAGGTGTCATGAAGGTTTTAAAATGAAACTTTCATTATTTACACTAAGTAAATATTATATATATATATATATATATATATATATATATATATATATATATATATATATATATATATATATATATAAGGTGTATATAACGCTAAAAGAAATACCAATTGTATTAGTGATGACAACGCTAGTGTAGATTACCGTACACGTTGACATACGACGTCAGTGATTAATTTGAGTAATCAGAGAGGTCAACCATCACTTATTTATCATTTATCTATATATCACCTACATTAAAAAAAATAATTTCTCCGCCTATGAAAAATACATTGACAGCTAATCAATAACCAGATAATATAAGACGGCGTGTGGTACTGTAATGGTAAACGTTAAAGTAACGCTGAAGGGAAACAATAATATACTTCATTAAATACAATAATATTATCCAATCTTTCTGAAAATTATTGACGGATTTCGTTGCAAGAAGAAACACAATGTTGCTGTTGTTCCTCCTCTGCCTGTTAGCAGTCTTGGCATCAGCGCAGGATGAAGCACAGAAAGCGGAGCAAATTTTCCAAGAGATTGATACAGATAAAAACGGAAAAATTAGTCTGAATGAGTTTAAGGCTGCTTTTAATGTAGGTCAATATTTTCTAATTACTTTTTTTTAATCATCAGTTTTGAAAACTTGATGCATTGATAATTTCAATGTATATTTTATTGCGCTTTGAATGACAATTTAAGAAAATTCCATTTTTCTGATAAGGTAGTGTTTACAATGAAAATCATTAAAACTCTAAGGTCGATTTAAGAAGAAAAGACTATATTCAATTTAAGTTTTGAAAAAAAAGATAACGCAATTTTACCCTGTCTTTTGTCAAAACAAATATTTTATACCATATATACGATTGTTTTACTACAAACTATACTTTAATAAAAGTTCTGAACATATCTGTAAATACTTCAGTATTTCCTATAATTAGCTCAGGAGTTATAATTTAGGGTAGATCTATACGATGAGCGTACCAAACACAATTCATGATGTTTCTACTTTCTCGTAAACGAAGTATAGAGAAAGTATTGTAATCTCGTTATCATTTAATATTTTAATATGATTAAAAATTAAGGTTGAATTACGACTACTGTGTACCACTTATGTATATATATATATATATATATATATATATATATATATATATATATATATATATATATATATATGTATATATATATATATATATATATATATATATATATATATATATATATATATATATATATATATATATATATATATATCAGTATATGTAGTCTTTGCCGATGATAAGAATGTAATGTGTCTAAATATTTCACATAAATATCCTGACATATATGAGCTAAACGACACTTTTATTCCAGAAATACGATGCCGACAATGACGGCAAGGTCACATATAATGAGTACTATGGTTACGTTCACAAAAATGACCCATCATTGGACTACTCCCTGCGTTATTTATACACCACTTTTGATGTCGATAACAACGGTTCTCTAAATGACAAGGACTTTACGGCTCTGCTTAATATAATGGACACTAGTAAAAATGAGGGTGTGAACAAGGAAGAGTTTGTTGCGTAGGTGTTGTGTTTATAAAATTCCGTGGTACATTGGAATAGATATAGTCTAAAAAAATTCAATTTTAGTTCTAAAACATGTGTCTAAACAGCTGCATATAAACTTGATATTTTTATCAAATACATTTAAGCTGATATTAGAACTAATACAATTTTTTAGATGCAATGCATGAATTCTATATTGTTTCTATGTTTCTTACCAAGTTATGTAACAGAAGGGGAAAAAATTAGGTCAGAGCAAGGACAAAGAACTCAATACACCTTTGATAGAAGTCGAGATCCATAATACTATATTTGACTAATAAATGTTTTGATCCGCTGTCAAGCCTGTAATTTTGCTTTAATGTTCATGGTAACCACAGCCTGATATATTTGCAAGGACTTGCTTTTGTTTTAATTATTACAATATACATTAGGTTAATTGAGCCAAAAATTACCATCCCTTGATTAAAAACTCCAAAATAAATAGGTTTAGTTGTTTCAAGAATTACCATCCCTTGGTTAACTATTACAAAATAGATAGGGTTTGTTGTGCCAAAAGCGCCATCTATTGATTACAACAACAAAATAAATACGTTTAGTTGTTTCAAAATGTACCATCCCTTGATTAACAACTACAAGATACATAGGGTTAGTTGTGCCAAAAATTACCATCCCTTGATTAAAAACTACAAAATAAATAGGGTTAGTTGTGCCAAAAAAGTAGCTCAACTTTTATACGCGCATGTGAGCACAGCGGTCTTTGCCTTTCCTTCTTTCTTTCTTCACCAACTTTCTCTTAGGCTGGCCCACTTTCCGTTTTCCCTAGGGATTCCAGTCTATAGCTTTATTTTCAATCAGTCTCTATTTACGGATTTGTTGTCATTATCTATTGGTTGTTGCATATTTATAAACATTGTTAACTAATTTAGAGTGTAAATCTGTTCAGAGTGTGTGTGCAGTTCATTTGCAGATTTGAGTCGTGTGTTTAAAAGTACTTTATACTTTTAAAATATCGGATTTGTTTACATCTAGGTATCACATTTAGAAATGTGTTATAGTCACATTTGTCACTAAATGAATGTTTACATTTAGTTATCACATTTAGAAATGTGATTAAGCCTCGTTTGTCACTAAATGAATGTTTACATTTAGTTATCACATTTAGAAATGTGTTTAAGCCTCGTTTGTTACTAAATGAATGTTTACATTTAGTTATCAAATTTAGAAATGTGTTTACGCCTCGTTTATCATCTACTTATCACATTTAGAAATGTGTTTAAGCCACGTTTGTCACTAAATGATTGTTTACGTCTAGATATCACATTTAGAAATGTGTACGTTTGTCACTAATTGAATGTTTACGTTTGATCTTCACAGATGGGACAAAACTGTGTTCACTACTGCCGACAACCAGCCAAAGGGCTAAAAGTATGATGGCATATGACAGATGTCATATGACAAGCAAAAATAATGACAAATAAAATAAAATAAAAAAATTGGATTGATATCTGTTTCGTGTTTGAAAAAGATAGTGGACGTGTATTGTGTTGTAACAACTGGGCCTTGTACAGTTTGTTTAGCCACTCTGTGGGGTACTTTATGATACAATCTTTTACACAACGACGATAATCAGAAACACACAAACACATTGAACAAATATTCACACGCGTATATATATATATATATATATATATATATATATATATATATATATATATATATATATATATATATCGTTAATTTATTTATCGAGAAATCGATAATTTTTAATCTTGTTAACTACCCTTTTAAGATTGAATTCAGTAATTTTCAAATTAAACGCCTATTTACGTATACTCTAGTCACAGACATTGAATTTGAAACTTTTGGTTTTTTAATATTACTACTAATTTTTCTTCATTTTTTTTCCCACGTTTTCTTTAACTTGCTTTCTCTGTTTGTTTGTTTGTCTTTCCAATCAAATCTTGCGATCGAAATTTCTGGCACTTCCCAGTTAGCTAGCGCGCTGAAATTTTCAGGGAAGCTTTCTTTTGGATGACCATAGAATATGCAATTGTTATTATTACTAAATTGATCAATGGAAACATTTTATTGAGCATTTTAGACTGCTATATAATCTATATATATAATTCTCCTCTGCGAGCCATTAGAAAAAAAAACGAGCGACGCGTACCTCGCGCGCAGTGAAGCGAACGATCCCACGTCGCCACAGGCTTAGGGGCAGATAATTTAGTTTGAACCGAGTTTAAAGTTACAGGAGGTAGGCCAGTTTGGGGGAGACGATATGGTCGAGTGGTTGGGCACACGATTGCTATCCCACTCGACACGGGTTCAAATCTATGTGTTCTAGTCAGTAACGTATTCACACAACAAAGCCATTGGCCAAATTTCAGACGCGACCAGATTGATAAAGACATTCCCGACTTAAGCATTGACTTTGGACCAGATGGAATCCATCGGATTTTTTGGTGTTCGTCCTTTGTGAGTGTTTGTCTTCGTTTACCCAAAACAAAAGTGAATGCGAGAAGATAAAATCGATAGCAAGATTTTAATGCAAACAAACAGACAAAGACTAAAAAGTAGAAAATAATAATCATTAAAAAAGTTTTAAAAAACCCACGTTTTCTGATTGAACTAAAAAGTAGAAAATAAACGCTATACATCACAATAATGCAAGCGATCACTCTACTATAAGCGATGAAAAACGTGGGGAGCCGTGATTTTCTTACAGATTCTAATACTGTTGACTCTCTACAAGCTCCCTAATAAAAGTCAATAGTATTATCTAATCAATAGTAATATAACTTTTACTTCGGCGCCCCACGTTTTTCATCGCTTATAGTAGAGTGATCGCTTGCATTATTGTGATGTATAGCGTTTATTTTCTACTTTTTAGTTCAATCAGAAAACGTGGGTTTTTTAAAACTTTTTTAATGATTATTATTTTTTTAATGGTAATGTTGAAAGAGATTTCCCATAACACAATTAAGTCTGTATAACTTGTTAGTATGATGCGCCCCATATGAACCGGTGGCTCCTTTATCAGCCTGCTTTTCTTTCTGGGTAAGATTCTATAGTATTTATTATTCATAAACCAAGTCAGCTGTTGGTTGATTGGGAGTTGTCTCTCTTAGATGGGATGCTGTCGCCAGCTATCGAGCCTCATCTGTCCTGGGTTTCGAACTCCGGATTTCAGTTTTGCAACCATGGGGATTACCTCTCGACCACGCCTAACCCTACACTTAATAACCTTTAAAAGCACACGATGATACATACTTACATACACATAAGTACACATATATTGTATTGCATACTTGTTGGGCGATTAGTGCGTTAACACCCATAAGCCACACTAATGCATTCCTACATTCTAGATACAACCTTTTATATCTTCTTGATTTTAATTAAAGTAGTTGTATATAGTCACATCTCATTGGATTTGTAAAACCTTATCAGAAATATTTCATTATCTATATTAAAAACAACAGCTTTCCAAACATGCATTACGTATACTTACATATACTTACATCGCGACTATTAATTAATTCTAAGCAAAAAAGGAGATTTACATAAGACACACTGAAGCTAAATATGGGACCTATGTAACGTGTGTTAGGTACCTTCTAAAGTCTCGACAAGAACCCACTAAATCTGTGTGAGGTACCCACTAAAATGTTTCAGATATCCATTATACTTTAACGGGTAACCTCGAGAGCTGAATCAGATACCAACTAAAATTTTCTTAACCACCTATAAGAGATGGGCCAAATACCCATTTTATTTATTAGATTCACATTAGGTCAACTGTTTCTGGCAAAGTAATTTCCCTTGTTACAGTAGCATTGGTGTGTTTGTCATTTAAACTACACGTAACACAACATATCTCGTCGTATTACTTAGTCCCTAAATCTTAGCCCATATCAAATATTTGTACACGTCTACGTTGCAAACGTTTGAAGTTTCCCGAATTACATTCGTGTTGTTATATTGATCGCTATACTGTTGTGACCAATTTTTTAAACTTATGAGTTTTAAAAACAGAGAAAATCATATGCGGGTAATTAGAAGGCGAATTGATTTGTGGTTATACAGACATTTGTTCGGATAAGCTCCGAGTCTACCACCCTCTGATGCGTGCTGACTCTTCAAATCTAGCACTTTGTTCTGTATGCTGACTCTTCAATCTACCACGTTTTTCTGTGTGCTGACTCTTCAATCTAGCACATTGTTCTGTGTGCTGACTCTTCAATCTACCACGTCTTATGTGCTGACTCTTCAATCTACCACGTTTTTGTGTGTGCTGACTCTTCAATCTACCAATTTGTTCTATTTGCTGACTCTTCAATCTACCAATTTGTTCTGTTTGCTGACTCTTCAATCTGCCACGTTGTTCTGTGTGCTGACTCTTCAATCTACCAATTTGTTCTGTGTGCTGACTCTTCAATCTACCTCGTTGTTCTGTATGCTAACTCTTCAAATCTAGCACGTTTTTGTGTGTGCTGACTCTTCAATCTACCACGCTGTTCTGTGTGCTGACTCTTCAATATACTACGTTCTGTGTGTTGACTCTTCAATCTACCACGCTGCTCTGTGTGTTGACTCTTCAATCTACCACGTTCTGTGTGCTGACTCTTCAATCTACAACGCTATTCTGTTTGCTGACTCTTCAATCTACCACGTTTTTGTGTGTGCTGACTCTTCAATCTACCAATTTGTTCTATTTGCTGACTCTTCAATCTACCACGTTGTTCTGTGTGCTGACTCTTCAATCTACCACGTTGTTCTGTGTGCTGACTCTTCAATCTACCACGTTGTTCTGTGTGCTGACTCTTCAATCTACCACGTTCTGTGTGCTGACTCTTCAATCTAGCACGTTTTTCTGTGTGCTGACTTTAGTGCATCTATACATAGATTCCATTGTGACTCATTTAAACAATGTGCGTTGAGTCCATGATACTGATGTAGGAGTCATTAGATAATGTTTTCTGTGTGTCTGGCTCAGGTTTATGAAACAGGAGTCACCGTTTGAATGTTAAGAATAATAGGGGGGGGGGATGGTGGGGTAGCAAAATTTAATTTGTTTTCTTGTCCACCCCATATTTGTATCGTTTGTTGTACCGATTGTTTTCTAAACAGTCAAACATGATATCACATATGTTTGATTAAATGTCCACGTGGACGTGCATGTAGGCTAGATGTACATGCGAAATTCACTGCGCTGTTTTACATTAGTTTCTTTGTGTGATTGCCTATGAAAATATTTAACACGAAAGTGTACCACACTCTCAACATAAATCTCAGCGAACTGTAGATGTTTAATTAATTGTAAGATGAGTTCGTATTGTATATATAGCAGACAAAACATGGGCGTTGTTGTATAGAAATGGTTTAGTGGTAGTTCTACCTGTTAAATAATATATTAAATGGTTGAACTAAACGGATTATCTATGAGCGATATTGATATGTGTTCGTATTGTATATCGAACTGACAAAACATTGGTGTTGTTGTATAGAAATGGTTTAGTGGTAGTTCTACCTGTTAAATAATATATTAAATGGTTGAACAAAACGGATTATCTATGAGCGATATTGACATGTGTGCGTATGCTATTGACAAAGACAAAATATATTTCTAATCTACAAAGTATCGGTGCTGTCAAGATAAGGATTTATATGGGATAACAGACGTGAATATGGTGAATTAGTTTAAAGTATTATAAATATAATACATATGCAAAAAGCTGATACCAAGGGGTATGTCAGGGGTTCTCAGAATAAAAAAGTGTTGTTAAAGATACATGTATTTGTATAGACTATAAAAGGTACCTTCTAGTAATGTGTAGGAAAGTAATGCATGAGTGCCGACTTAAGATTCGTCAGGCATCCAACGGAACGTTCAGGTACACAGAAAGAAAGTCAGGTACCCACTAGAACTTTCTCATGTACCTGCTAGAAATGCTTCAGGTACGCATTAAATTCTTACAGAAACTCACTAGAAATGTCTCATGTACCCAGTAAGTGCCCAATAAAAATGTCTCAGGTACAAGCTAGAAATATCTCAGATACCCCACTAGAAATGTCTCAGATACATATTATCAGGTACCCACTAGAAATGTCTCAGATACATATTATAAAAGTGTCTCAGGTACCCAGTATAAATGTCTCAGGTACCCACTATAAAAGTTTCTCAGGTACCCACTAAAAATGTCTCTGATACCCACTATAAAAGTGTCTCAGGTACCCGGTAGAAATGTTTCAGATACCCACTAGAAATATCTCAGGTACCCACTATAAAAATGTATCAGATACCCACTAGAAATGTCTCAGATACCCACTATAAAAGTGTCTCAGGTACCCGGTAGAAATGTCTCAGGTACCCACTATAAAAGTGTCTCAGGTACCCGGTAGAAATGTTTCAGATACCCACTAGAAATATCTCAGGTACCCACTATAAAAATGTCTCAGATACCCACTAGAAATGTCTCAGGTACCCACTATAAAAGTGTATCAGGTACCCGGTAGAAATGTCTCAGGTACCCACTATAAAAGTGTCTCAGGTACCCGGTAGAAATGTCTCAGGTTAAAAAAAAATACTTCTGTCATGTACCACAAGAAACAAAAAAAATAGAAAACGAGTATAACCTAACCATTCACGTTGACTAATACCAGTGTGATCCCAGGGGAACAAAGGGCTGCAGCCACACCTCTCTATCAGACTCTATTTTAAGCGGCTCCCTTTATTGGTGCCCACGTAAGCCAGGCAGCCCTTGCCTCTTCTTCTTCTGTTCTCCGGGATTTTCTTGGCCTGCCGACTTTCCTCTTACCCTGAGGATTCCAATAAACCAACTTACCCATGTTAAATTGTCATTGTTTAATGTCGGTTAGCGAATCTAAAATAACAGTTGCATTAATTTGGGTGATTGTTTGAATTAGGTATTCTTTGTTCTTTGATTAAAAAAAAATATTTACCCTACATTTACGAAAGTTATTTGCATAAGTATGATTTAATGCGTGTGTGTCCGATTGTCTGTGGCTGTGCCGGTGTGTGAATAATTTGTGAGTTAAATTATGTACCAGCTTATTAACGTTATCAGTAGACTTCGTGTGTTAACTTAGGTATATTGCATTACCATAAGACTCCTACACGTATACAATAAAAACAATTCGATTCAACCGCAAATTTTACAAATATAACTGCCAGACAATAACTACAGTTTAGTCCATGATGTTTGGAGAACTACGGTAAAATATTGATTAAACATTTGATTAAAATGAGAATTACTTAATTATTACTATATTTTTTAATTAAGAATAAAGCGTGTACGTAAGTGGCGGGCAGACGTGAGCCATGGGTTTAGTTTACAATGTTTAATGACATTACTGAAATGTTATTTTAGAAGCGTAGTCATTGTGGGGTAAAATTGTCTTACTTGACTTAATTCTTTTTACTCCTTTTGGAGAAATAGGGCCTTTACCATAACATTTATATTTGCCCGGTCCCTGGCTGGTCATTTTGCTGCCTCTTAAGGCTAGATGCTACACCAAATGCACTTTTTCGTTATTATTCAAGCTAATCCATTAAAACTTTACCCATATAATATATACTGAAAGTTATTTTTTTTAAAAAAGGTATAAGAATCTATTTTACCATATGGTTGCCATGGTAACGGCCGCCATATTGGATTTTTGTTTATCATTTCCAAAATGCTAAGGCTCTATAACCACAACTGCTAAACACACCAAAATGCATGCATTATATAGGGCGATTTGAGCTTATTAAGTTCTATGTTTCACATTTTTAAGTAAAGCCAAGCAAACTGTTTTTTCTAAAAAAAATTTCTATCAAACTGATAAAAAACACTAAAACGTGCACAAATGTAGCTTATTTCTGGCTTTAAAAAAAAAGCAAGTTTTGATAGAAATTGAACATAGAAGTTATGTGTATGTATACTTCGCAGAACCGCAGGGACTACTAAGCGAACATATTGCGAACAAGGACACACCTTTACTGGTGATCCAATGCGTGACGTAACTTATAACACGAAACAACCAAAAACGGTTTACAAACAGAGTTTCTTCCAGGCATCTCTTTGTGGGGGTGGAGAGGGGGAAAGGCCGAGCCCCCCTGAAAAAAACGTCTCCCAGTACGAAATGGAATTTATATAGAAAATATATCCTTTTACCAGTGTCCGCACCGCACCCCCACCCCATCCGGAAAATGTTGCCCTCGCCCTCCGAAAATATCAAGTGCTGCACTCCCCCCCCCATGCCCCCGGAAAAAAAGTCTGGAAGAAACACTGTTTACAAAACACGCCTAAATGAAACAACCGCTTGTTAATACTAAATGAGTTTAATACTATATGCACTATCTACATAACGCAGTCTATTTTAAATACAAATATAATAGCTAGTACACAAACTAAGATACAGTCGCTATCTAACAGCACAGAACTAACCTAAACTACTCTTGTGGGAAAACGGGACTAAACTGAGGCAATCACACGTTCTCACATACCTTATATACCCAGAGGCGTAGCGACCCTTCCCAGCGCCCGGGGACAAACTTTTCGATTCGCACCCCCCCCCCCCCTCAAACTTTCAATTTGCACCCCCCTCAACCTGTCAATTTATTTTTCCAACCCATTTTGGCGCCACCTAAGGTCGACGCCCGATGACATATGTACCCCCCCCCCCCCCCCGATCCCCCCCCCCCCGCTACGCTACTGTATATACCCTTAAAGAAAACAGGTATAAACCAGACTGTCAAACTCACAACACAAGGATTAACAGGAACGAATGGGATAGAGTACAAAGTGTAAACAACATTCACCCTCATTCTTTCCCCTTCACACGTTCACTACAGAAAACAAGAAAAAACACTTATTACTGTTAATTTTAGAAATGAATTTAATCACTGACTTAAGTCAGATAACAAATTGAATGCTGTTGTACTGTTTTTTTATTGCAACAATATTTTTTGGCGTGGGTCAGTGGCGTAGCGAGGTCGGGTGTCACCTGGTGCGGCACTTAATGGTGTCACCCCCCAGAGGCGTAGCGACCCTTCCCGGGGACAAAGTTTCATATTTTCGATGTGCCCCCCCCCCCTCTCAAACGTTCGATTTCCACCCCCCCCCCCCTCAAGTTTTTCTCTATATATTTTGCTATTTTTTGCCTTTGTGTCGACCCCCTAAATGGTGTCACCCGGTGCGGTCCGCACCCCCCTCGATACGCCTCTGGTGTGGGCATAATGTATCCTGTTCTATTACAGTCCCACGTCGCTCTGAATTCTCCTTTTGCCTGTTCCACTGCTCACTACCTCTGATCAAACCAATTTGATGACGTTTGATTAACTGTGTTTCATATAAATCACATTTTCTACCCAGTGTGTTAATGACCATGTCATACTCCGAACAAAAGCATATTCTAGTGGTTGGCAGATATTGGGATTATTCTAGGCAGATACACAAGTAACAAAAAGGGTTCAATTGTTGTCCCATTTCTCACAGTTTACCCATAACTATTTTGCTCCGAATTCACTCAAGTGTAATAAATAAATAAATAATATATATATATATATATATATATATATATATATATATATATATATATATATATATATATATATATATATATATATATATATATATATATATATATATCACAGACAAAAGTACTTCGAAATTTTTGTCTAAAAGTCGTACGCTCTACGATTCAACAACGCGTTTTTTTTCTTTTTAAGAAACAGCGATTATTCTTAATGTAGTCCGAATTGAATAATTTTAATATTTGTATCCAACTGTGTTTTTTCCAGTGTTCTTATTATTCTACGTTTATATTGTAAATAAAGAACACTGTTTGTATTGGATGTTGTGTGATAATTTGAACAAATAAACAGCTTTAACGTTGAATGGTGAATGTGGTTGTTCGTACAGTTAAAGACACGAGTAACAATAATTTTTGTTTCGGCTCAAATTAAAGATCGACTCTACTTTATCTACTTTTACGGTACATATGTTTTCACATAAAACATAAGATGTGAGCTATGTTAGGGGCCAATGTTAAGAAAAAATAAATTAACAACTCGTTTAATGTCCTATGGGGCGGAGTGGTCTAGCTGTACAGAGCTGGACTGCTAACCCGTAAGTCTCGAGTTCGAATCCGGGTATAAGTCAGTAGACCGTCCCTGAGTCCACCCAACTCCTGGGTACCGAACACACGTTAGGGAAAGTAAAGGCGGCTGGGCATAGTGCTGACCACACTATCTCTTCATATGCCGAGGTCACAGAAACAAGTGAACTCTACTTCACTTGCCCCATAGACCGTCAGGTTTGAAAGGGAAACTTTACTTTTTTTTTACTCCACCCTACTGTCGCTACATTTAGTTGTGAACGTAGCACATCGTGCTCAAGATCCAGTATGTGTTGTGAACATTTTAGGCTGCTGCTGCATGACAGAAAACGACAGTTCTAATCAACTTAACTACTCTCTTGGAATAAACGCAACAAACATTCTACACGAAATAAAATACACAAATGTAAAGAATAAAAACGACATGTACAAATAAAGTACTATTAGTTTATTGAGATGACTATACACCGCCCTTTGTTTTGATCAACAAACTGAGTGTCTGACCACCTCTAGTAACGGCATGTGCAGCCGCCACCAAAAAGGTTGCAGCTGTTGAATAGAAAAGAATAACTTTCAATTGATTTACGCAGGGGTCAGAGTCCTCTGTTACAAAAATGTATATATATATATATATATATATATATATATATATATATATATATATATATATATATATATATATATATATATATATATATATATATAATCCTATGGGCGATCTTTTCTCTTTCCCTCTGTCCGCAATATTTGTTGATATCGTGATCAGTATGTTAAGCGATATATGTAAAACTTAAAGATACGGACTTTCTGTTTATATATATATATATATATATATATATATATATATATATATATATATATATATATATATATATATATATATATATATATATATTGTAACAACTTATATACGACTCTAGTTGTAATTGTGAGCTCTTTCATTAAAGAATATGATTGAACAGTTCTTTCAACTTTCAACTTTATTTACATTACTAAAATAGATCCACAAGAATAATGATGGTAAATCTATGGTGGAATAACTACAATCAAAGTACAAAGTACTCTGTATACGAGAAAGTAAAAAGTAGTAAACCTTATTTTTTGCTTACCGACACCAGGCCTTACAGCATTTTAAAAAGTCGTATTTGCGTAACAAGGTTTCATTTAAAGTGCAGGGTTTTCCATAAGGGAGGCATAAATTTCTGCCATTTAGGTCCTTCATACTGAAATGTTTAAAAAGTAATTTATTGAGCTGTATCTAATTAAAAACAATCTAAATCACGAATGATTTTAAGTAACGACAAAAATGAAATTCTTCGAATTATTAAATATCATAAACGGCATTAACTTTTTAAATTCCATTCTCATTTTGTAGACTTGAAGCAATATGACTAAAGTGACGGGTGTCAATAAAAGACGTCATAATATTCCATTAAAAATTGAACATTTTGTTAGATTGCGCTTGCAAATGGGTAACAGGATTGTGGGAATTGGGGGGGGGGGGGTAAAAATAAGAAAGTATGTTGTCAAATCCTTTTTTTAAAAGTACATATTATCTTATCTTGTATTCATTGTTTTAACAGTTGTATTATACATTGTCCTTTTGGTAGCATTGGAGGGTTGTCGCCCTTTTTCGCTTAAATCAGCACTTCAGCACAGTCTTAATGGACTAGAGCATGGGTTCCCAACCTGGGGGTCGCGACCCCCAAGGGGGTCGCGAAGGGCTTTCTGGGGGGTTGCCAACTGGTAGACTAAACTCTAGCAATAAATAAAAAACATAAATATTTAGAAAAATATTTGAAATTCGGCATTACTAACATCACTGGAAATGGAATAGAGAATAAACAATTTGTACTGTGCAAAGTTGTTCTTAGGAGTCTATGAAAACTTCCAAACGTAGATTTGAGACGAGTCATTCGGAACACACCAAAATGGATATGTAGTTCTTTCGTCGGCATAAAGCGAGTTGCAAACGTTAGAGACTTGATCGAACAGAACGTTTTCACCAAGAAAGCACATCATTAGTGCAAGCATCATATAAAGTAGTATTAGAAATTGCCAAGCAAAAAACCTCTTACACAAAGGAGAAAATCTCATCAAACCATGTATGCTGAAGATGGTAAAATTAATTCTTGGGGATTCCAGTGCAGTAAAGATGCAACAAATATCTCTGTCTAATAATACTATGCAGCGGCTTATGTTAAAAGACAAATTTAGAATGAAATCAAACTTTCACCATTGTTTGATTTTCAAGTTGACGAATCGACAGACGTGAGTTCGTGTTCGCAGTTGCTTGTCTTTGTGAAATGTATTCATTCAGATGTTAGCAAACAAGAGTTTATGTTTTGTGAAGATATCATGGAGAAAATAAATACGTTTTTTTGAAACTGGAAGATTAAAATGGGAAAACGGCTGTGGGGCTTTTACGGATGGTGCGTCATGTTTGGGTCAAATCGGGGGTTCCAGAAAAAAGTAAAAGGTAAAAGACTTAGCTCCCTAATGAAAGGGAATCCACTGCATAATTCACATATGCTCTCGCCAGCAAGACTTATCCGACTTCATTGCTAATAAAAGTCGTAAATCATATTAAATCTGGAGCCCTAAACACCTGTCTGTTTCAAGAACTGTGCAAAGACATGAATAAAGATCACGAGGTTCTACACTTCAGTACGCTGACTGTCAATAGGAAATGTCAAGCGTGTTTTTGAATTGAAAGATGAAATCAAGATGTTCTTGGAAGTGCAAGGAAACAAGACCTTTTGATATACTTTAACGACATGGTGTGGTTGGAGAGAGTATCATACCTAGCAGATATATTCGAACATCAACATAAGCTTAACCTGATAAAGGAACGAATATTATCTCTTTTCATGCTAATCTCTTGGCATTTTTATCAAAGCTGCAAAGTTGGCAAGGAAAAATAAATATTTTTAATACTGCCATGTTTGAGAAACTCTGCAGTGTGGTGTGATAGATAAAATTTCGAAAGGATTCTGTGCATCTTGAATCTCTGGACAACGAACTGCGGCGTTATTTTCCCCGAGCTGAAAGAAGAAGAATCTGCATTGTCACCCATTCTCTGCTTTCCTTGATGTTACCAGCATTGCCGATGAATAACAAGATGAATTCTTAAATTCTTAAATTTAATTGTTAATGCTAGTTGATGCTTGTTAATAGCATGTAATTTTGCTCATCGTATTCAAAGAGTTATAAAAAATAATTCATATTGAAAGTCTACTAGAAATAATTAATTTAGTGCTTATTATTTTCTTTACTAATTTCGACTTGTTAGTTATATGGGGGTCGCGGGTCACTTACGTTTTATGAAAGGGGGTCGCCACTCGAAAAAGGTTGGGAACCACTGTACTAGAGATAACTCCACTCACAGCAAAATCTCAGTTCTGATCTAATAGCTATAATAGTTAGGGAAAGCAAGGCGACTGGGCATGGTGCTGACGAAACTATCCCTTCATATGCCCAGGTCAAGGAACAACATCATCAGCTCAATGGGTCGCTAGTTTAAAGAAGGATATTTTTTTTTAAGAACCCACAAATTTTCAATTCATTACACCGTCTCTGATATTACCTGTTGGAGACGGTTGTAAGTTCGATACTGAAGACGACCACTAATACCAGTAGCACTGAGTTCATGTTGAAAAACTACATTTTAGTCACACAAAAAAGTAATTAGAAATATAAATATAAATAAATAAATAAATAAATAAATAAATATATATATATATATATATATATATATATATATATATATATATACATATGAGGCAAATTTTCTATACAGTTAGTTTATCAATACAACTTGACTGAAAAATTATTTAAAATGTCGACATTTAAGCAGATAATACATTAGAAAGCAACGTGGAGGCTGAAACCTTAAATAACAGTTTAATTGTTTTATTAGTTAAAGATCTGTTAGTTGTTATAGAGTATAGAGAATGAGCCAGGGAAGAAATCTGAGATAGGATGTCAAAACACATTAGGAATAGAGTAAACAGTATATGTCAGGCTTGTTAAGTGAACTGGCAAGACTATAAAAAGACGCCTCGGTCTCGTAAGGCGCCAAGAAGAAGACAATATACGTATGCAGTAGAGGCGGAACTACTAAGAGAAGTAATTGCTTTTTAATTTGTTTAGTACAAATATATTAAAAGGGGCTTATTAGCACCCTATTTAATCATTTAAAAAAGGGAAATTAGCCATGAAAGTGTTTTGAACGTTTGCCTATCTTTCACAATACAGCTCAGGCATACATGTATTTTATACGCAACAGCATGTGTTAGCTACTGTATAAATCACAACTGCAGTAGATCTGTTTGTTATTTACAAACGCTTTTACCGTCAAGTCAAAAATGCAAGAAAATTATTTTTTTAACTAAAAAAAAAAATATTATGGTCGGCTATGGGCACCTAATGTCGTGCTCCCCCACCCCGCATTGCGGGGTCTTGCGACACTGTAGTTCCGCCCCTGGACTGTGAGTGAATTTCCTTATATGAGCTATATGGAGAAAAAAAAATTGCCGAACGCCCCCTTATGCCGTTCAGCGAGTTCATACACTGACCCTGAATGGTAAGAAAAATACATTCTGTCCATTCGAAATTAATCCTTGTAGTTGTTCGATTTGTCCAGATGCCGTAGTTTCTTATTTTTTTTGTGAAAAAAAGTAAACAAAGACTACGTCATTCGGTCCACGTAGAAAGAAGGTAGCTTTGTAAAGTAATAATTTTTAAATTAAATTTTATACTATTTATAACAAAAATAAATTACGAAATTTAGCATTTGTTTTAGTTAAAATGTCATTATACATTGGTATATATCCTAGAATTGTAGAACTTAACTTCAAAAGTTATCGAAGTATAATCACTGAGTAAAAGCTGTGAATTACACTGTCAAGAAGGCCTCTGTAATTCTAATTACCTTTGAGTTAGAAGTGTGCGAGTATTCATTCAACGTTTCTCTAACATGATTTAATGTTTAAACTTTAGCACTCCATAAAAGCCAATTACCAATTAATTAATCATACACATTCTCATTTTTTTTTTTGAAAACCTAAGCAAAGTTAGTCTTTATGCCTAGTTTTATATAAACAAAGAAATGCATCTCTCAAGAAATTATATTTAAAATAATTTTGATCAAAATAAAACCTTAAGTAAAAGAATCGTGATATATCTAGTAAACATGTTAACGTAAAGATTTCATAGAGATTTTAGCATTGAAAAAAAACTTAAGCTGTGTACATACCTATGCCAATTTTCAAAAGAACAAATAACGAGCGAGTGCAACTGCGTGATACTGTTCAGCGCGTTTTATAAAGTAATCGCCGCTATGACAGATGGGATGGCTTAGTACGTGTCTAATCAGCCACATACACTGTACACATATATACACACATCGTTTACATATACATAGAAAAATATACAGATATTGATATAAATTTATAACCTGACAGCTTTACATCAGTGGTTGATTGACTATTATACGTGAGGCAATAACGTCACTGTTTACCTCCTTCCTACCAAAATATCAATAAAAATAATTTAAATAATTTACTTAGCTGTATTTTATTTTAACAAAAATGCAAGTAAAGCATAAGGAAATATGAGATTAAAATTATACGAAATGTAAAACATAAATATGCTTATGTTATGTTTATGATAACTCTTTAAAACAAAAACGATTTAATACAACTTAAACAAAAGGAAAATAGGGAGGTTAGTCCATAAATAAGGTCGGAACTGAAACTCGACCTTTGTAGAATCTAGTTTAATATATATATATATATATATATATATATATATATATATATATATATATATATATATATATATATATATATATATATATATATATATATATATATATATATATATACATGTGTGTATGAATTTGTGTGTGTATGTGTTGTGTTCTATTAGAAGTACTACGTTTAAAGTTGAAAGCTCTGTCCTGTGTTTTAATATATTTTGCGCATGTTCGCTGCTTAATTAGTTAGCTAATCAGAAACGACCATGTTCAAAAGAATAAATTTGTTTCAAAGATGCAAGTGTGCACTGATGTGAAGTTTATAAAGAGTTAAACCAGTGCCATGTTTTGTTCCATGAGTAACAGTGTATTATATCGAAAAATCTGTTGCACACGTATCCAGCCCGGCCTCATGGTGGGTGTACAGTTGCCTTTAACCTCTTCAGACTAAAATTTGATTGGCTTTAGTGCTGACCATATGTCAGTCTTTGCCTACAGAGAAAAAGGAAAAGAGGCAGACCAGGAAAGACCTGGAGACGTGACCTGGAATAAGACTGGATACACCTGGGGACAGTTGGAATGTCTAGCCCAGGACAGAGCAGCCTGGAAAACATGTACTTTTAATGAGTACCTAGTCTCAAAACACTTGGTCCAATCTTAACCCATTCCAAATATTTTAGCACGCCTACGTTGCAAATGTTTGTCATTTTCTGATTTACATCCAAGTTGTTATATTGATCGATAAAGTGTAGTAGGCCCGTTTTCAAATTGTGAGTCTTAATAACAATGAAAATCTGATGCGGGTAATTATTACACAAGGTGCTTTGTTGGTTACACAGATTTATGTTCTGATATGCTCTGAGTTTACCTCGTTGTTCTGTTTGCTGACTATTCAATCTACCGCGTTTTTCTGTGTGCTGACTCTTCAATCTACCACGTTGTTCTGTGTGCTGACTCTTCAATCTACCACGTTGTTCTGTGTGCTGACTCTTCAATCTACCACGTTCTGTTTGCTGACTCTTCAATCTACCACGTTGTTCTGTGTGCTGACTCTTCAATCTACCACGTTGTTCTGTTTACTGACTCTTCAATCTACCACGCTGTTCTGTGTGCTGACTCTTCAACCTACCACGTTGTTCTGTTTACTGACTCTTCAACCTACCACGTTGTTCTGTGTGCTGACTCTTCAATCTACCACGCTGTTCTGTTTGCTGACTCTTCAATCTACCACGTCGTTCTGTTTGCTGACTCTTCAATCTACCACGTTGTTCTGTGTGATGACTATTCAACCTACCATGCTGCTCTGTGTGCTGACTCTTCAATACTAGCCATCGGTACCCGTTACACGGGCAATTCTGGTGACTTATAGCACTCTTCTCTTTACAAATAGGCTACCCGTTTTTTAGATATTTTACTCTGGAGATCGGCATTTAAAACTGTCCGGGGGAGGGTGTGTGTGTGGGAGGGGGGGGGGGTCGGGGTTTGGGATACTGGTTTTACTTTACTTTTTTATGAATTTTTTTTTTAATTCGTTCGGAGGTGAAAGGGGAAGAAACGGTAGAGATGCCTGAATAAAATGTAGCCTATATATCTACGGAAAGTAATGAAATGAATTGTAATTCAGCTTTTAAAAATTTCATCAATGGAAACTTACAAAAGAAACATTTTATAGATCAGTGGTTCCCAACCTTTTTCGAGTGGCGACCCCCTTTCATAAAAAGTAAGTGACCCGCGACCTCATAGAATTAAAAGGCCGAAATTATTATAGAAATTAATAAGCACTAAAATCAGATTTTCTTGAATTGATAACTGTTTTAATACCATGAATAAAATTGCATGCTATTTACTAAACATTCGCGGATAAATGTTTGTTTACGACTTTTACTAGCAATGGACTTCATTTGATGCGTGCACTAATTGTGTGTTTTCTTGGTGAAAACTTCCTGTTTGATCAAGCCTCTGACGTTTGAGACTAGCTTCATGCCGATGAAAGAACTCCATATAAATTTTTTGGTGTGTTCCGAATGACTCGTCTCAAATGACATTTTTGTTTTGAAGATTTCATAGACTCGTGACTGAGAACAACTTTGTACAGTACGCTTTGCTTCTTCTCTATTCCATTTTAAGTGATGTTACTGAATCCGAATTTCATATATTCTTCTAATAGCAATATTATATTATGTGGAATGGTAGGTTCGGATCCCGTTGGTTTCTGACTGCTTGTTTTTACTTGGACTATTTTCTGTACCTTTGTCTACACTTGGCGTTGAAATATCACTTTCTGTTAATATTGCTATTTCAGTTACAACGCCTGCTTCAACCCCCTCTACATGATATTCTTCTAAAAATGTATGCTTTGTTTCTCATTACTAAAGTTTAGTATACCAGTTGGCGACCCCCCAGAAAGCCCTTCGGGACCCCCCTGGTTGGGAACCCGTGTTATAGATCAAGAGCATTGGAATGAAACATTGTTAAGATTATGAAAAGGTAGGGGTTTTGTTTTATGTAAAGTTTATACTTGTTTAAACTAACATAGACTACCAATAATTTTTAGAAAAATTAAAACCAAATTATATACAGTATTAATCAACACAACACCATATTAAATGCACAAGCTGATTAAGAGACTTATATGATTTCGATAAAAGCCCGGCTGTTCAAATGTAGTTACGTTGTTTTTGTCTTTTAAAAACACCTATTACAGAAACAGGTGAACTCTACTTCATCTGCCCCGTATTTCGAGAAGTCACGATAGGCAACTTTATCATTTACATAAAAAAATTGAAAAAATAAATGAGATTGACTTTGTGTGTCTCGAACCTGTACCACCCACGTGTAGAATCTCTTCTAGAACTGTAAACTTTGGAATTGTTTGGATTTTTTTTTTATGGACAAAGGAAACAACCCAGTTAATAATGTAACTTTGGTTAATGTATCTGATTATTAATTTTTTTTATTACAGTACCCTCAGCAGCCCATGTGAGCCTTTGGGGGCCAAAACTGAAATTTTTGTTCGCAGCTGAATCGCACCCTACAAGGGCGCCGTCGGACACGCCTGACTCAATTTACTAAGCGATTGTAACACCCTATCTTATCCATTGTCTATCGCACTGTTTAGAACGAACGCATGCGCCATTGTGCTCACGGGAAAGCCCAGGGCAGCAAATCGAACCTAACAGGGGCGCCCGAGGACGAGCCTGGTTCGATATAGTCAACGATTATTTTTGCCCATCGTGACTTTAGTGTGTAGCCTTTTTTGATAAATGTAGGCGCCATAGTGCTCGCAGGGGAGCCAGGGGAGCTACGGATCGTGCAATCTACTGGGCGTCGGCAGTTGCTTCTGTTGAAGTTTTAACGCTGAAAAGAGTATTACTCCTTTGCCTGATATGCAGGATGCATGATTACGGATGCCAAGTGCTAACATAGCCGCTCTGGAACTCTGGGCGCCAAATTGTGTATTGACGAAAATCCCACCCTCTCGGGCGGCGCCCATAATAAAGAAGATGTCTACATTGTCTATGAATGATCGCTAACATAATAAATAAACCGGGATTGATCTCCATTAAACTTTCTCGAATATTCTTATATAGCACTACGGGGGATGGCAACTAGGGATATCGACATGATTTTTAATCCATTTTTAATTACTTAAACTTTTTAAAATAGAATAGAATCTCGTAGAAAAAAAAGAATCGCGCACCAAGTTAAAGCCAAAACGATCTGTGTATAATAGTACGGAATATTATTATTACTTTATAAATTCACATGAGTTTTTTTGAGAAATCGGAAATAGCGTAAATTACTACTTCCGGTCAACGGATATTACTCAAAATTTAGCAGAAGACAGAGAATTAGATTTTTTTACTTAGATGCGAAATTTCATTTATCTGTCTGAAACAGTACTGAAATTATAGGCTTTTGAAGAATTGAAAGTAGATTAAGTTCCATTTCCGACTATCGGAAATCGCTGAAAAGTTGATAAAGAACTGCATATTTGATATAGTGCCTGTATATAAAATTTCATCAACCTAGCTGCAACGGTTTTTAAGTTATCGTGTTCATAGACACACATACACACACAGACGTACGGACAAGATTGCAAAACTATGTTTTTCCGAGGTGTAAAATGTCGAGATTTGCAAAAATCTCGATTTTTTTTTGGACGATTACAATATTTTCTCTATACCCTGTATAGAGAAAGTAAAAATTATCTATATATACAATTCTCTTCTGGGAGACGCTAGAAAACAAGCTGTAAACGCGCTCCCTACCATCCCCACCCCTACAGTGTCTTAGTGAGCTGTGCTTCACGCTATGTTTACCTTCGTGGAGTCGGGTTTAGTGACGGCTATTAGGGGCAGATAATTTAGTTTGAAACGATTTTAAATGTTGGGGGGGGGGGGAGGAAGGGGGGGGGGGGGGGTTTATGGTCCTTAACGAGCTTCTTATAGTGTTTTAAAGAAATATTTTCAGTGTCAGCTTTGGTACTGTCGAATTCACAAATTATGAATTACTGAAAAGTAGAAAAAACAACAACTAAATAGCGGCGTATGTTATGCCGCGGGCCGGCTCGTATTGTATTAAACAAGCAAC